ACAACCCCGTAACAATATGCGTTTTGTACTGCTGTTACACAGCACAAAACGCATAAAAACGAAGGAATCTTAAAATCAGAACGACCCCGCAATATTCACAAGCTCGGCTCGGTGCGATCGACTCGTAAGCAATGCAATATTTACTAGAAAAGATGCAAAAATTTTGCGAAGCATGCATCAGACTAAATAAATAGCAACGCGCACCAGACTAGCCGGTGAGATCATGCGTTTTGTGTAATTCAGCCCATCGAACGATTGCCTGTTAATGATTTTCACTGCTTTGTACTTTTGTCTACGCAAAAATAGTTCAAATATAGGAAAGCAGTTAAAAATTTCACACACCAGCGTGTGAAAGCCGAATTCGAAAACTTGAAGGATGAATATCTTTCCGTGATCCCCGAGTTAATAGTTTACCCGCCAAAATTTTCACGAGGCCGTAGGTGGTACCCGAAAGCGCGAGAACGCTGAATTTGAATGGGCAGGGTTGAGCGAGGGCAGGGCGTCATTACCCTAAAATTTCAGCCTACTAGACATCGCAGTTCCCGAGATATTAAGTTGCCCGTAAAAAACTTTCACGGGGCCTTACGCGCTATCCGCAGGTACGGGGGAGCTGAATTTAAATTTGCGGGGTCACACGTGTGTGGGAACGTCCCCCTAAATTTTCAGCTTTCTAGCTTCTGTGGTTCCCGACTTGAAAGTTGCGGACAAGTTGCTGCGGACACATACACACAAACACAGACAACCCCGTGACAATATGCGTTTTGTACTGCTGTTACACAGCACAAACGCATAAAAAGGAAAAAAAAAATAGCCAAACTGAAAATTGCGCAGAAAAAAAGAAATTTAACATTTTTGGACGTTATATGATGGGATTCAAGAATTCCCCAGAATCGGCCAGTGTTTACAAAACTTGCAGAATCTCTCGACCTTCGTGGCGGTAAAGCGAAACATAACAAGACAGTAGCAATGACAATTGCGGGTACGCACTATATTCTTGTTTTTTATGCGTTTCTTGCATCTATGCAATGCACAG